CAATTTGCATGTGAAAATGTTGGTCTTTGGCCCTTTTACAATTCGTAGGTAAAATTAAAGGCAAATTGTTTCACTACAAAATTTTCTCAAGCGATTTTAAGAAATCACCTCGGCTTTATTACAACATCTGCAATTAAATTATGTTTCATTCAACGTCAGGGTTGATAGCCTAACATTTATTAACTTCCAAGAAAATTATCAAATTGCCGAAATATATTTCTACTTGTATCATGTTACTACACTCAATACACAGTGCCTAATTATTGTGTCAACTAGCTTCTTCCAATTTTATTCCCTAACGCTACTGTTTCTACTTAAGTTACGCAACTTTACTAAACAGAATACGTTTCAGAAACTATAATACTTAGTATGCAGGAAGGATGTATCATGTTGTTCAATTATTATTCTTTTTTGTTTTGTTTTGCCAGAACGAAAAAGGTCTGTTGAACTTTGTAAGCGAGAGAATAATATTTTTAAAGCTTGTTTACAGGATTAACAATACTCGGTACAGCTTTCACAAAAATAAGCTGCCTTTTTAAAGTTCTAAGACCACATTTTATAGGGCGCATACTTTCGAATTAAAGTCTATATCTAAATATCAATTATTGCTTCATTGGAAGAGCTTTGAAAATATATGATCTTTTATACTCTACCCAGTTGCAGCAGGTGAAACAGAACTCATACTGACGTGCGTTGTACCGATAGCCGAATTAGGTCAGAAATGCCTTGAAGCAGCATCCATACTAAAATATGAACCCTTAAACAGCTGCATTACTGTACACAGCGTTTGAATCATGAAGATATTTAATGTGATTCTTCCAAACACCTGAGCCGTAATAAAAGACTAAAAAATTGTGAAGAATCAAGATGGCGGTCTCAAAGTGCCCTTGTTCGACCTTTACCAATGCCATGTTTAAATAGATGCCAAGATCTCATTGGTTCCTAAGCATCAACTCATAGTACCTTCAACCTCATTGGCTCTTGTAACAAACATCCCAACATACAAAGATACAAAGCCACAAAGGTACATACTCTCACACCACTGACATATGAGCTATTTTTTCAAAATAGCTCAAAAAGTAAGTTACTTTTACCTGTTAGTTATCTTTTCAAGGTCGTGAATCATAGGAGTAAATTCCGGCAATGATAAACTGTCCCACTGACAACCAAATTGTGCTGCTTTATGCTGCAGTAACCCCTGAAGTTTCCGCGCGGATCCTAAAAGAACGAATAAAGATGTTATGGCACAAACACCTGCTACAGGTACCATTCAGGAAAAGATCATTGTTCGATTTTCAACGTTATTTTTAGCTTCAGCTTATACGTTAGTGTAGCTTCAGTACATGGATACTTTCTGACGTGGAAACTCAAACTCGGTAACAATTTATTTACTCCAATTTATGTAAAGATTTTTATTATTATTATCAATTATTATTATTGTTGTTGTTGTTGCTGTACGTTTGCAACTATCTATAGCCAGCAGTTAACTAAGATACAAAGCGAAGAAAAATTAAAACAAAAAAAAAAACAAAAAAAACGAAAACAAAAAAAACGAAACAACAAAACAACAACAACAAAAAAGCAAGAACAAAAACGTGCCAAAAATCTCAGAATGTTGCGTTTCACCAATTTTGCTTTGATCAGGTCGGTCTCTTAAAGAGATAGCTCGATCTGCTGTCTGCAGGGCTAATTTTCTAGCACTTGTTTTGAGACGTGTTTCCTCCTGGTCTGTCCCGCGTCTATCTACGTACAACAGCTTCGCTTCTCCCAGTCTTTCACCTGACAGTGAACAGATTATCACCGTTTTTTCTCCTGCTTCAGGCGAGGCTAAACGGGAAAATGAAAGTTATTATGTTAGTTTGATTCCGGTTATCAAAAGTTGAGCTTTGGATCTTTTCTACTGCTTCTGCTTCTGCTCTTCTACTGCTGTAGCAAACCGGACTAAAGAACTTTTGTTTTAGTTGCGATCTGTGAAGTCATCCGAAGCATGGTACGCCATTTAATCGAATAAATCAAGGAGACGTGGCAACACACTGTTTATTACAAAACATACGTGGAATGCAATCTCCTTCCCCGTCTATATCGCCTTTCTTCCAGCGGATTTCTGTTCCTAAACCTTCAACGATTGCATATCCTGACCGAACCTCCGGGAAGAGCTCTGCCAACCCAAGGAAATGACAACAAGGTGCACCCTTAAAAAAGTAACGAAAAAAGTTAGGTCTTCGGCGCCAGGATTATAAATAAAAAATGAATTTTTCATCAAGTAGGCCAACAGTCTACTGTTAAGGTTAAATCTGACAAATATCAACGATGTCAGACAACAAGAAATTTTAACTTAGGGACGGACCGGGGTGAAAAATTTTTGGTAAATGAATTTTTTTTGGAAATTGTCACCCCACCTCCGGTTATTTCCAATGGTCCGTCCCTTATCAGAGATAAAATATGGATAAAAAAGACAGCAAATGACCCTTCAACATACCGACAAATCTACTACATCGGGAAATATCTCAATGATCGCATAGTCTACGACAGCGTTATCTGAGGGAAATAACACTGGTAAATGAGCCTGTGTAATACAAACATTTTAAACTGCTAAAATATAAAATATTTAACGTTCCGCTTGGGCACAAGTTATAATATAATGTCGTTGATAACATTTTAAGCCGATTCGCTATTTCTTCGATAAATGCAAAATAATCAAAGGTTCGTAAAATTTGCGATAATTAGACGGACGGCAGGGGCGGGGGGCGGTGAGGAGGAATTATGTTGTGCTCTTAAGGTAATTCCCTTGAAACCTTTTCATGCTTGACACAAACCTGAAATAAAAAGATGCGGTTACTGTGTTTATTTTTGCCATGCCTGCCAATTGTTCTAAGTGTTTTTTTTTTCACTAATTTGCGCCCGAAATGTTCGAAACTTAGACATCAGTCAAAAATTCTTGTTACCGGTATATAAGCAAAAACTGTTAATAAATGATACTTTAACCTAGAGCCCGTTTGTTTTTCTATTTTTTTAAGTCTCTTTAAGTTCCCCGATCATCGGTTGTAAATGATGTAAGAAAATTGGACCGCTATAACATTATCTCATACGCCTCTGTTACCAAATGCAGAGTTCCAAACCATTCATATCTAAATAGTAAAACTTTCACAATCCAGAATTTGTTCTCCTTAAAATATATTTTTCGTGTACTCAGCATGGGTAAGAAAAACCAGTTTACTTAAAAGAGGGTTCGTGACATCGTAAAAAGACAAGAAAGGGATAATTTCGGCTTCAAATAGTTATTTTACGCGTAGGGGCTGGGGCGAGTTCATAGAACAACACCCAAAGACAGAAGAGAAAGTAAATCCAGGAATAAGACCTACTTTCATTTTCTGACTTATCCCTTGCTTGGGGGATAGAACTGCTACTGTCTGAACCTAGTCCCGAGTCAGAACTGTTACCACACTGATCATGAGGTACCTACTAGACAAAAGGAAAAAAAATACCTGGGAGTAAATTTAATCCCAGCAGAGATAGTCCATCATCTAGGACCCGATAATTTGGATCTAATACTCATCTCAGGAGAATAAACGAAACCTGTCCAACATGAAAGTTTATTTATTAAGCTTTCAAAATATGTCTTGCCGGACATTCAGAGTGGTAGGTTTCCTGTAGAAATTCGACTTTGAAGAGACGTCACTGGAAGCTACCTAATGACGCCATTTTACCAAACCCGGCTCTCGAAAGGAACGCTGACTCTTGATAACATGAACAAAACACATGCTAAGTTGTTTGATAGTTGTCTTATCCTTAGTAAATCGTAAATGTGTGTCTTATACTATCTTCTGATGCATTCGAAATTTTTTCTTTGATTTTTATCGAAAAGATTTCAGGTATCAATCCCGTCTCAACTTCGGTTGTCATGCAGTCTAAGCGTCATTGTCAAAAATTTAATTCAAATTCTGCGTTTAGTCGAAACTCACTGTTTTCATATGACGTCACGGCGACCATATTGGTGTTCCAAATAATAAAACGGCGGCCATGTTGGTGTACCAAGACAACCCTGTGGGAATTGAACTCTTTTCTTATGTAAAAACTTTCCTTTGTTCCAATGAATTAGCATAGATACTGGCCACGTGAGTGAAAACGCTCTATACACTTAATGTCAGATCCCGAGGGAAACAGTTAGTTTGTTTTCCCTAGAGTCCTGATGTTCTTATAATTTTGGATCTGTTAATCACTATCCGTGATAATTTAACATCCTGCAAAGAAAAATCACGAGCTTATTCACGGAGTAAAGAAAATCGGTTAGTTAGTTAGCACACTTGGAATTGACTGAGCCATAATTAACGAATATTCACTCTGCAGTCGAGATGTTCACTCCACGCCATCTTGACACCAATAATCAATACGCGCAGCCTTGCAACATCGACATCACAATCTTTGAACGATATGTAGAGTTAAGTATCATCAGCATAGAAATAATAGTCGAGTCCATGACTTTGTATTATCTCAGCAAGTAGTGCGGTGCACAGAAGATATAAAATGAGACCTACGACAGAGCCGTGCGGAACGCCCACAGTCAGATCCCTAACCGACGATTTTGTATCATTAATTTCGACAAACTAAGATCGGCCAGACTGATAAGAATGAAACCACTGCAGGGGTTAATTTGATAATAAAAGCTTTTACAAGTGTAGCTATTGTTTTCAGACTCTAAAACAATGGCTACACTTGTAAATTGCAGGTACAAAAGTTTTATTAAATTGACCCCAGAACAGTTCCCGTCATATCAAACGAGTTTTCCAGACGCGAAAGTAGCAAAGAATGATTAACCGTGTCAAATGGCGCTGACAACTGTACTAATTTACACCCAACACCCACTGCATGGCGAAATTTAACTTGCCTTTTGTGCATCGTCTTATTCATCATTATTATTGCCCTAAAATCGCCACTGGCTTTACTTAACAACAATAATTAAAAAAAACCTTTTATTGGTTTTCGGAATTTAATTACAGAATCACAGGTGTATGCCCAGTACAGTATTAAAATGCGATAAAGCAAAAAGATTCAATGCTCAGAGTCTCTCACAAATACCTGTCATTTTTAGCATCCTCTTTCAACGCTACAGCTAGCGTGACCGGTAGGTATGCTTGCCCGTAAAATTTGCTCGACGAATAGAAAGGAATCTTTTAAAATTCATTACACCACTGGACGTTACCTTCCAATAACGGACCAATGTCTAGATTCCTATGACAAATAAGGATCTTAAAATCCCCAAATCCAAGAAATCGGAACAGTATAATTCCGTGATAAATTTGAAATTTTTATCTGTCTCTTCAATGAACACTTTGCTCGCCATTTTGAAAGTCACTGACGCGAGACGTGACGTCATATTGCCAGGCGGACCCCCCCAGCATACCATACCATACCACGCTCCTTGTGCGATTATTCTGGGCCGTTTTGAAGCACGTTTTCAAATATTCGGCTAAATGTATGTACCTCTTGTTCCGAGACGTTTTTGTTTCCTCTTAATTGAGGAGTGATTTAGCCTTTAAGAGGCAAGCCATGTCATTTGAATGAGAAAAAAAAAAATAAATAAATAAAAATAACAGGATCCGATTATCCTTCGATTGATTTGTAATTTTCATACCTTTAGGCAACTACGCTAATTTCTATTTACAGACAAATCATGTATAGCACTTGTTTTTGGATTGAAAAAATTTCTTCTTTTCACTTATATCTTACTTTCGCACTTTTTCGAGTTCGTTGATCGAGTAAGTTGCATCCTTTTCAGAGATAGAATACATGTTGGTAACACAATTAATAAAGCTAGAAATACTTTGGCTTCCTATAAAACTTCACATAATACTGCATTCATTAGACAATGTTTCAGCGGCAATACGAATAGCAGCACTTGCTGGCACAGCGAATGGTGCTGTTTCTGGTTGAACAATAGAAATAATTTGACCAATTGGTATTGCTGTTCGCGCAATAACTTTTAATCCGTTCTTTATGTAACTTGATGTCACGACTTTTTATTGTTCCTGATGAGTCTCGGTTATCTTTTTCTGCAGATCTTCCACAGCCTCTGATCTCAATTTAATCACCTCTGGCACTTCGTCCAAAAACGTCCAAATGTTTGTGGCATGTACTTTCGTCCCCTTCGTCACTGGTTTGGCTCCCTCAAACTGGCCATCTGTTTCTTTAAGCAACGCGCTGACCTCATCCATGTGTCTTTCACTCATTTTATTGAACAAGCCTTCCATTTTATCCCTGGGTAGTTCCTTGGCATTTTCTCTAAGAACCTCCTCTTTATGTTGCCTTGCAATCAAAGCGGTCTTATTTTTTGTCAGTTTCATGTTTTCTTCGATCGATCTTTGCACTTCCAGAAAGCACTCCTCTAAGGTTTGGCTGACCTTGACGAAGGCCTCTCTTTCTTGCTCGGCTTGTTTCATATTTGCTGCCATCATATTTTGCATTTGAACTCGCTGTGCTTCCAGCTCACTGTGCATCAATGTGTGTAGACATTGTACCATCTCTTTCTCTAGCCTGGTGATTACCATTTCCATCTTCAAGAAAAAGTAAAAGAAAAGAAAAAACGAAACCGTTGAAGGTCATTAGATGTGAAGAAAGCCAAGCATAATCAGGCTAACGGCTGTCGTCATTTCTACATCATCCACTCCAATATCTTTTCAAATGCTAACTCAAAACATCCTTCTTGAAAGAAAATTCATACCTCACCTTGTTCTTGCGTAAAAGTTTTTTTGAACGTTTAATTTTTTAGGCTGTGAGTGGTGAGTATCAGGGGATGTGAAAAGAGAAACTGCTTCGATTGTCGCAAGGCATGCGACAAACGAAGCAGTCCCTCTTTTTTTCTGAGTGAGTCCAGTCAGAAAAACCGCGAGAGAAGAAACAACAACAGAGGAGAAATCATACGAAATTATAAGCAGAACATTAACAAAAAGCAACTACCTTCTGGAAGGCAAGAAAATATGAGGGTAAATTACAACATTCTAGATGAAATTCAACCCAGAAAAGTACGTTATGTAGGCCTGATGTTATTGCTCTTATGTAGTAACTAGAACAAGCATGTTAGCAGACTTACTATTAAGCAACTCTATTCACTTATCATCATCATCGAAGTCATCATCATCATCATCATTATCACTCTGATCATCATGATCATCATCAGCATCATCATAATCATTACAAACATTTTTAACATCATCGTCATTATTGTCAATATCATTATAATCATCATTATATTTTCGTTTCTTCCATCCAATCGCATTCCTTAAAGATAACAAAAAGTAAATTAAAACCTTACCTTTAGCAACCGTAAATACTTTTCAGTTGTTATTGTGGATATGCCGGTGGTTTCGACCATAAACTGTCGTTGACACTCTTCTAGCGAATCACTATGTACCTTGCGAATTTCATCATTGTCGCACGGATGCTTACTGGACAGAACCTCCCACAAACGAGTGTTGTAAATATCCAGAGCTACATTTCTGGCGTTGATACATTTTGTTTCCACGAACGTCTCCCATGCGGACTGGACGTTTGGAACAGAACCAGGAGTGTTAATGGCTTCCACGTACAGAGTGGTCAAAGCAGCAAGTCCTGTTATTATTTAGTGAAATTTCTCTCTTCAGTTTATCTTTTTCTATGTTTTGTTATTTTCTACTTAGATAAAACGATTACAGGAAAACAACTGACGACAATTTCAAATCTTTCCTGATGAGGAAAATGCAGCAGTACGTGACGCACAAATCACAATTTGAACATCTCGCACTATAAAGGGTATTCTACATTACAGCGGATAGCTTATGTGTAAGTTATCATGTCGATATGGAAAATACTTCGGCCGCGGCCGCGGGTATGCACACCTTTTCACATTGCCACAAACGGACTGGTACAGAAACCTATCCGATATGTGTTGATCTAGCTCTAAGGACTTCTCCAAGATCAACGTGGCTGCAGCTTTTGCTCCGATACAAAGTAAACGCTCCGAAATTACCCATCAAGACCAGTCTCCTAGGACTTAGAATCGTTCCAAGAGAAACTGAAAACAATGGTTATACAAAACGTCGGAAGAGGGGGGAGGGGGTTGACCAAAAGATTATCATGCTATTTTTTAAAGTGGCGGATGGACATTCTCTGTCATTTGTATTTCATTGTCTAATTAGTTGACAATAAACTCACTTTTATGTAGAAAAAATATCAAATGAAAAAGTAGCCCATCAGGTTATCAAACGTTAGAATAACGCATTGTTATTAGTATAAATTAAAGAACAGAAGCACTTTTAAGACTTGTTACCTTCTCCAGTCACCAGCTGTCCATCAAAGCAGCTGCGTTTTGGAAGCAGAATAGACTTAAGCAGGGTCTTAAATTCATCCACTTTAGTTAAGAATTGAGGTCGTACTTGACTCCTATTTTCGTTGAGGGTTGTCATTATGTCCTCTTGAACCGTAGGTGGAGGCAATTGGAAGGCTTCAAAACCAGAAAAGTAACGCAGAATGCTGTCCGCTACTTGCTGACTCTGATGGCAAGATGATGACAATGATGCGGAATCTTGGTCTCTAAAAACCTACGAAAAGGGAAAAGAGACTAAACTAACCAGAATGAGACAGCCGCACCCGACGACACGGAACAGACGGCTAAATTTATGACAAAGCCTGAAAAACAGCACGAATCTTACTATGAGCCCGTTTACGGCTGAAAGCTCGATCAACGCTATAAACCAAGGATTAAATTTTGTCATGATTGTATCGATCTTGTTAACTCTACGTTCCTGGTTCAAATCATAACTGTATGTTATCAAAATTTAACTGACTGAATCTCGGAATAAAGGGTAAACGTTATCTTATAAGCTCCAGTTACATTTCCCTCGACCTTAAGAGCGGATGTCACTAAATATCGACCAGGGTCTGCAAAATTCTCAAAAAAATTCACAAAGTAGCACTAGGTAAGCCGTTAACACAAATGTAATTTTTACTTCGATCCGATGATTATATTAGATGTACGGGGGGTTATTGGTTTCGCGGCTCTCCGACCGGGTTTTACAGGCCCGAGACGGTGTGTCACGAAGAAATCGTTTTAAAAATCAAATCAATTGTAATGCAAACAACAATTAACTTATTCAGAAAAGTACATAATTATACACATTTTAAATGGTGATTTACTCAGTTTGAACGAAAATGTAATATTTTGGAGATTTTTCAATATTTTCAATATTTTGAACGTTTCCGTTGGATGAAAAAATGGCAAATTTAAAGCCCAAAATCGTCGACTGGTACCTCGATTTCTGTAAAGAGTCTTATACCACGTTAAAGAGCTTTATCTCTTCTTTCAAAATCTGTTTTCAAAACTATGAGCATCTTTAAAGAAAATTTTTCAGGCCAAAAAATACAAGTAGTTTTTCTCTGAAATTTGAACTTTCCTCGCTCAACGGGCCGAAGCTAAAAACTTGGAAAAATACTGCAAGAAATCAGTTTGAGCAACAGTGGTTTGATGTTATCAGCTTTCATAAGCCAAGACGTGTTTATCCAGCAATCGGATATAGTTTAAAACCGTTTGCTAACAGGAAAGGCAGATTTGAGCTGTCAACTCCTGCCAAGTGCACGTTGTCAAAGGACAAAGCACTAATTAAATAAGACGCTACGGAGCGTACACTTCAGCGTCGTGGTTGTGGAAATGATCAATTGTAAATGCGGAGGAATAGTAAGAAATGAAATATGGTAAGAGTAAGGTGTTAATTTGTGAAATTATGGGATTTGTCGGGATACTCTGAAAAGAGCAACATCCAAGAGGCCTACTTGCCAAAAACTAGCATTTCGGGACAAAATTAATTGTCTCGGAAATACTAGCCCAGTTATGCTCTGATGACTCCATACAAATCCTTCTAAATTTGACTTGGGTCTAAACGTTTAGACCTCGGTCAAATATGAGGTTACTGGCGGTGAATAACAAGTCTAACAAACCAAACAGTGAAAAAAAGAATTCTCTATATTTCTTAGTCACATCAGGCTTCAAAGACAGCATAGCAGTCTCATGTACTGATTAAAGATATGTAAGGCATGGGCAAGGAGTCAATTGCATTGAGTATGGAATTGGCTAAAACTCAATGTTACGAGTTCGAATGTTTTGAGGATATTTATTCACTGACTATCAGCACGCAGGGATGTCAGATTAACTCAAGCAAGTTTAATACCAAAGAAACTTAGCCTTTACAGAGCTTTAAAACACAGTATCCGCCAACACAAACTTGACTTGAACTTAAGTAAAACTAAACAGCCACTGCCAATAATAACAAACTCTCACTTGAACTTCAGATATCTTACGGCTTCCGCCAACTTGTAAACACAGAACTTGAAAATCGACCTTCGCCACACTTGACTAAACACAGCAGTGCAGCTCGTGGGAAAAAACTTAGTTCGTCAAAAGAACTCGCTTGGAACTTGTATACCGTTTAACATAAGGTTCTAGAAAATACTAAACAGGCGAATAGTAGTAGCTTTTCGACATATTTTATGATTTCAGTAACGGATGCAAACCTGGTGACTCATGCTGAAATGTAAACATGCCCTAATTAATTATTCATGAATAATCCAAAAACGTAGAGAACGTTCGAGAAAGTCACGCACCGCATGAAAACAATTTTACTACGTAACACTCAACAAAGACAAAATGTCTTTGTGCAGCCTTTTGTAACTTTAAATTCATCATAAAACAGTTCGAAATAAGGTCTCACTCGTGAAATGTTTTTCAACACTAGCAGAGAAATTTTGTGCCTCTATTTATTCCACGAGTAAATTAAAGACTAAACGCGACGTGATCTCAAGATATCACGAAGTAGTCTGGTCTCATTTCGTGAAATAGCCGAAACAAGCCTAAAAGTCACGAATGTGTACGCCCAATCTTGTCCCGAAACTAGTGCATCATTTCATAACTATTTTTCATATTTCGAACTACCCTGGGTGGCAGTAGCGCAATCGGCTAATCCCTCAACTTACAGTCTCCTCCAGGGCGTAATAAGCTAGGGCGTTGAAACGAGCGGGGTCGAGCGATCTAGCTGTGATGCAAGGGTCTGGGTACTACCAAAGAGACAAAACAAGATGGCGGACATTATACTGGATCGTCAGAGAGATTATCCAGCGGACGTTAGCCATTATCCCAGGGCATTCATTTGCTGCAAGCAATAGCGAATGAACAAATTATTTTTTCTCACGTTCGTTTTCTGTTTTATTCAATTTTTCCCCCGCGAACAAATATCTGTATTGAATACAGTTCCACCTCCGTAACCTGTATTAAAATTGCGTGACTTGGTAAGAAAATGGCATCACAACTCAGATGATAGCACTGACATCATTTTTAGACTAATATTGTCGGTTCTCTACTTCAGTTTAATATGGCATTTATTTTTTGCTGCCCAGTTTCAAGGCCAGATGATCTGTTTTCACTATTATCATAGTTTGGATTTGTAGGTGTACATTAGTATCCTTCTCTAAACACCTTATTGAGCTATCTGCAATATTGAGCATTACAGTTGGACAGATTGTGAAAACTAAAGTCCGGGTAAATTTAAAATATAATAAAATCATTGTTATTTTTTATCTTGTACACTAATACTACTGTGCAATGGGCATGAAAAATAAGTATGTGAAAACAATATAATTCACTGCCCTTGAAAAAATAAGAAAGAGGTCACAAGAACACAAATAAGTAGCCCAGCAAATATTTTTGTTTGATAATAACAGCTTTTTGTAATGAAATGGTCCCTGAAAACTACCCATGCAAGACATACTAAGGAACTTAAAAGAAACTAAACATTCACTAGTCTTACATTGAAACCAGACATTGCTACATAAATATATCTTACAGATACAACATAAAACATTTATATAACATACAAATTCAAACTGAGTATATTGCAAACAAGAAAATTATACAGAATTATACACAAATGGCCTTTAGCAGCTATTAAACTATTGAAAAACAAACTTTTTAGTGTGACCAGCAACCCTAGCACACTTGTATACTTCATGTCCAGTATGATTCAGTTTCATTCTTGGTTAAATTTATTAACTGCAGCCAGGCTTAATCAAACTTGATTAAAAAAATACTTTCCTAGTTTCATTGTAACTACAATGTATGATATTAAGAGAGAGGATATAATGCTAGAAATATTATACAGTAGTACAATCAAAAGATAAGGCACCTCCAGGAAATCGAGTTGGTTCCTACTATTCTTCAGTCATTTTCTTTTACTCTCTATAAGAGTTACACCTGTCCATTAATACAGACATTTTGTGTCAGTCCCAATAGTTTCCATCTAAGAGCTGACTGTAGTTTGTGCAACACCACACTTTAGCCTCTGACGACAAAAATACAATGCTACACAGTCTTAATTTATTCTACTTGCAATCAAATTAAGACCTCTTCATGTTCTTCTTCATATTCACGGTATTATGAACTCGTTTATCTTTCAGTGTGTGTTCTAGTAGTCTTTTCAGACAGGGCACTCACTGTTGTCCTGCAACAAATCATAATAACAAATTAAACACATTCTACGATTTAATTTTTACAGTGGAATCTTTGTGGGGATTTGAAAACAAATTTCTCCATAGGCTTCATTCTGTTTCTGTGCAATATAACCTTTAGATTTATACCGCAGTAAAGTAGAATTTGTTGTTGTTCATTTAAAGACTGTCACACGAGATCATTCGAATGCAATTTTCTAGTAGAACTTTCAAAATAGTGGAACCTTCTTAGATCGCGGTTCTGTAACTAAAAAAAACTATTTACCATCTTATTGTATATTATAAAAAGAAAAATCGCTAAATTGGACAACAGAAATCTTTTATTTTACTAACAAGCTAAATGCCAAAGTACAAAACAAAAACCTTGCTATCGCCATTTTGAAGTCGTCACTTCAAAAGTAAAAAAATCTTAAAGGTTCATAAAAGTTCACTCTAAAAATTTGCATGCACAAACAAAATGTATAAAACCATTACATATTTTTCTTGTAGCCGTTTATTTTCATTTGGTTTAGACTGGCAAGGTAAAACGCGACCTTCAACCTGTAATATTCGATAGGCCATTTTGACAGTACATAAACATAAAAGGCGAAAAAACACCATAACTTATAAGACTAACTATAAAATATCACCTAAATATTTTCTGTATATCGCGTAGAAATACGCCAAATATCAAATTTAATTATAGATTGCAGCGGTCTAAAGATATAAAGCAATAAATCCGAACCTACCTCCAGCTAGACGGCGCCATTTTTCTTGCCCTGACAGCGGATCGAGAGCGGAAAGCGAACTAGTTGCAGTCCTACTCCGCATCACAGCTGAACCAGAGAGCGCGTATGACCGTTTCTACGCCCTAGCTTATTACGCCCTGGTCTCCTCTGATCCGACGGGTCACACAGGTGAGTCGGTTCAAACCCCGGGAAAGCCAAAATAATAATTATTTCTTCCTCGAAAAAGTTAAAGAATAAATCAAAGAAATCGAAGTGATCTCGAGATATCTCAAACTAATTCGGCTCTCACTTCGTCAAATAGCCGAATAAAACCGAAAACCTACAGACTTCGCGTGCCCAATCTTGTCAAAAAATTGTAACTTTGATACATTCCTGAGCGTCGCGAATCCTTTACTTCGCGCTCCGCCGAAGTAAAAAGTCTTAAAATTGGAAACTTTTTACGTCCAGGAAATCAGATTTTAGCGTACAAAACAATGTTGTGAGTGTTTGTTGTTCGTACCTTGGCTTCATGTTCCCATATATTGGAAATTTCAAGTATCCACACGGGAGAATTGAACATACCAACAACATCGTTTTTTAAATCCAAGCACCGAAAGATCGCAAACGGGAAAGATTGCGTTACATTTCACAGAACAACCGCTTACCACTGTTGTCACTCTTTTTCTTCGCTGGAAGCTACGAGACGTTTTCATTCCGTCATGAATGATTCTTGATCAGCGCTTCCTTGAAAGTACGATCCCGGACAGATGATAACGACGTTTCTCAAGACTCCTGCTGTTTTTTCGGGCTTTAGTAAGGGCGTAGCCAAGATTTTTCCAGAGGTACACCAGACTTCTTCTACATCGTCTTCCCCCCCCACCCCCTTCCACCCCAAATCTCAACATTTTCTTAAGGTGCCTTTATTAAAGCTGGCTTTGACGGTTGTAAGCCAAAGCATTTTTGCTGTTTATGAAATGACACAACCCCTAAAATTCCTTAATTCTGTCGGCTTGTTGGGTTCATTGACGTCAACCGTTTATCATTAATTCAGCTAAGCTCAGCTATTAAAAATCAAGCTTGTAGGACCTCCGACTTTAGTTTACAAATGACTGTTTTTTGCCGCTTTTTGTCACATTGTTTTGGACCGACAAAAGCACCACACATTGACGTAATTGTGCCCTACTTCGTCTACTGCGAAGACGGGTCGTGGAGAAAACAACTCGTTCACGCTTTACATCATCAAGCTTGCTATATAAATAAATCATCCAAGATTCGGTTCTCCAATTGATGTCGTCGCTTCTCTGGAAACCGACTTTTTTAGTTATATTTATTTCATTTTAATTTTTCTCCTCAACTTTTTCGGGTACGCACGTGCGAACCGTGCGTACAAGTAACTACGTCCCTGTTTAGTATCCTTAGCCCTGAGCGCTCCTTTCTTCCGGTTTTCACGGGAGTTTAGGATGTGGTCCACCCAGTATTTCACGTCTCTATTAAATGAGAGGCAGCACTTCTTGTTTACCGTTTCGTTATCAGACAGCGCTTAGAGTCTTAGCCTTTCTTTTAATTTTGATCAAAAATCATTAAGTTACTCAGTATACGCTCGATCCTGGCCCTGTAAAGGCTTACACTTTTATACTCTGAGGAAGCTTAAGGTGGCTCGATACAGTTTTTCAGGGTCAATACCTCCCACGTTTGAGCGTAAACTACGTCGCCATAAACAAAGATTTGGAAAAATTGACACCACAGTTGTATTAGATAAAGATGAAAACTTGTTATGATCAGGGTTGCAATGACATCGGAGTTGTCATAGCAACGAAATGACGCCATTACCTATTTTACTTGCAGCATGATTTCTCAGCACTGGGAACTGTTCTTCCAAAATCGTTTACTGGAACTTTTTCCTACAACAGCCGCCTCGATGTTCGTGAAGTTTAAGCGAAATCTGTAAGAGCGTTATCGAGATATTTTGGGAACAAGTTTTTATGGTTAGAAATACGGTAAAAAATGGACAATCTTGATGTTCGACTGTTATCTGTACTAAACGAAGCGCTTTTGACATGCAATTTCACCTCATAGTAGTTTCAATCTTTTTAAAAACGTGTGTGAAAGATCATTGAGATACCTTCAGCCGATTGCTAGAAAGAAGGATTTGATTAGTATGTATCAAGGCGCTCTTGTTAGCAGTAATGTAAACATTTCGGTCTACTTTAACAAATTAGCGAATAATTTTTAAACCGCTCGATCATTTTTTTTTTAAATTTAAGAGTCTTGAGATAAACCGTCCTTTTATATGACCTCTTAGTTTCAAGGTTATTGATATATTGTAAGGTAGTAAAATAAGGGCTTGAATTCGCTAACATTTTGTCAGAAATTTTGTGTTTACACGTGAGAGCCTCTTATTATTCGGCGGTATTGTCTCAAAGTTTCATTTTCACGTGAACAGCAGTAACTAACAATGCATTTGACATATGCAAAAATACTAGGTATTGTTGTGCACGAAAATATGAAACTTGGAGACAATAACCCTGAATAATGAGAGGCTCTCACTTGTAAACACAAAATTTCTGACAAAATATTAGCGAATTCAAGCCCTTATTTTACTGCCTTACAATATATCAATAATCTTGAAACTACGAGGTCATATAAAAGGACGGTTAATCTCAAGATTCTTAAATTTTCTAAAAAATTTATCGAGCGATTTAAAAATTATTCGCTAATTTGTTAAAGTAGACCGAAATGTCTACATTACCGCTAACAAGAGCGCCTTGATACATACTAATCAAATCCTTCTTTCTAGCAATCGGCTGGAGGTATCTCCACGATCTTTCACACACGTTTTTAAAAAGATTGAAACTACTATGAGGTGAAATTGCATGCCAAAAGCGCTTCGTTTAGTACAGATAACAGTCGAACATCAAGATTGTCCATTTTTTACCGTATTTCTAACCATAAAAACTTGTTCCCAAAATATCTCGATAACGCTCTTACAGATTTCGCTTAAACTTCACGAACATCGAGGCGGCTGTTGTAAGAAAAAGTTCCAGTAAACGATTTTGGAAGAACAGTTCCCAGTGCTGAGAAATCATGCTGCAAGTAAAATAGGTAATGGCGTCAGTTCGTTGCTATGACAACTGCGATGTCATTGCAACCCTGATCATAACAAATTTTCATCTTTATTTAATACAACTGTGGTGTCAATTTTTCCAAATCTTTGTTTATGGCGACGTAGTTTACGTTCAAACTTGGGAGGTATTGACCTTGAAAAACTATATCGAGCCACCTTAATAGCTATATTAAAGGGCCATCCTCCTTTTTTCTTCGATTAGTGTCGTCCGACAGACCCAGTTTTTTGGAATTTTTAAAAAACACGAAAAAGAAACGACAAGGTTTTTTTTTTTGGACTTAAATTAATTCTTTTAATCTGAAAAATGAGCATTATAACAGCATTTCCAGGCATAAAACGTTCGTGATGTATCCTTTTTGCTTTTTTACCCTTTTTGGAGCTTTTTTTCATGATATTGACCATCAAATTTTCCGCCAGACTGAGTCTGTCGATTTGGTGACCATGTCTTGTTGTTTTCAGGCTCCACTGCAATGATGCTGGTGTTTCAGGCCTCCGATTCTCAAATTTCCTGCGATTATTTTTTTTTCACCCCACCCACTGACCCAAAACCAGGAAACCTATTCGATGCTAGACGAACAAAAAGGGGATGACCTAAGCCTTATGGTTTCTGCTTGCGCTTCCTCACCACATTGCTTCTGCGTATTTCTGTATACTTGTTTTTCGTTTTGTTTTGTTCTTTTTTTGTCGGTGAAATAACTGAAACTGTTCAAAGATCCTCTATATTCCCTTTGGAGATTCTAGAGCGCGCATAAAAAAAATGAAAAACGCGATGATTTATTGACCGCAAGGGCAATGGGGTGGGGTTAGGGCTCGTTACTGCGCTCCGGTTCACTCGTGGGCTGTCAAATGGTCCCGAAAAACAAAAGGAAAAACGTCTGTAGACAGACTATTCACGTCTAGACATCAAGCCTCTTTTTTAAGATGGGACTTATCGCCTCTCCCTGTTCATGGAGTTGATTCAAGGTGTTGACGTCAATTTCGTGATGCCCTGTATGTTGCCGGGACATGTTTCACATGGACCTTTCCACAGCTACGGAGTCCGCCGCCACCTTGTAAGCCGTGCGAGAAATAACGTACTTCACAAAAACAAAGAGAAGTTATTTTCGATTCGCCCCGCCCCCTAAAGTACTCTCCACCCTCCGGCCCAAATGGCTGGACTTGTTCCTTTGGTTGCCCGGGGGATAGTAACAGGTATAACTAATTGAACGATGCATCAATGACAGTTTAGCTCAATCATAAAGGCCCCTTTTCCCAGGCTACTTCAAGGTGTGTGTCTCCTTTAAGCTGTTGTTTTCGGTTCTTACTGAAATTTTCGGCCTTGAGGAAATTCACAGCGACAGGGGCAGGTTATGGGCTTTTGACAACAAGTAATCCTGTAGGCAGTATAATGTTTGTGTAATTCAGAAAACTGCTGACGAAAATAAAAGCTCCTCGGCGCTGTAAGGTATCCAGGGAAGGCGTATTTTATATGTACAGAAACTATCAGTTTTCGGCCTTTTCAGCAAGGAAAGACACACTATCAACTCAGTGGTATTGCCAGTGCTAAAAAAACGACTTTCGAGAAACGTCGCCAGAAATGAACCTTAAAACGTTTTGCGAAACGGTATAAATTAAAACAAACAAACAATCAAAAAAGACTCTGAGATAACACACAAAACAGATTGTCAACACTTCTTGAATAAGACGCTAAATACACCATTAATAAGAGCATGTATTAAATTGCTGGTATGAATAGTTCGCGTAATTTATTCTGGCTGGTAAAGGACACGTTTTTGAGTGAAATTGTCAGTAACAATACTATTAATCCAACATGGCGCGTGTTTGAAAAGGTTCACCAGCATAACAGGATCTACCACAGAGGCTACATCAAGTTAAACGTTTGATGAGAGTCTTATTTCTACCCACGAAAACTGTTATTTGCTGCAATAAAAGAAATCACAATTTTATTTTCTACACACTGACAAGAACTGTGAAAATCAGGAGAAGAAGATTGACAGACAGTTTGTTATGACCAGGAAGGAAGGTTATGACCAGGAAGGTTACGACCAGTTGGTTATGAGCAGGAATTCATCGAGGATAAAGGCAAGTCGAAAAACACAAGGAAGGCTTCTGCTTAGCTACAAAAATACGGATTTCTTTTCGGGACTTTCAGAGCCTTACAAAATTTTTTCAAAAATGACGGAGTTTATGGGGGTTGGAGGTTTTTTTTAATCAATTTTGTTTGTTTATATATGTTGCACAGAAGACCACACCTGTACTGTCGTAAACAATGGCACATGCGCGGTTCTAAGCGCTCACACCGTTAATTGACGCCAAAGGTCATTTATTCAAGTTTTCTACGTCTCAGCTAGCGTATTATCTATGGACAGGTGTTAGAAGCTCTTCTTACCGTAGGGCGCGTTATAGTTAAGTAGCGTCTTACTTCACTGAATGAAACGTGATAATTGTACGGGAGGTTCACGTCCTACGTAAGACACGTGCATGCTTGCCTAAACTAGTGACACTTTTGAAACGTAGTAGAAGGTGTCCCTTTTCGTAGTTCGGGTCCATCCTACCCCTAATCCTACATATCGGGAAATTGGGAAATCCCTCAGGTTTGGAAAGAATTCGATAATCCTTCGATAACCATCCATTTATTCAATGCGTGAATTGGGTAGTTTTTAGCTAATTTCGAGGAAATACTTTTTGCTTCAAATCCAGGGTGGGCTTTTAAACACAAATGGTTTTTGCGTGAATCTGCTTACCCGAACTTTTCGTAGAAAAAACCACAAAAACCCGACTAAAGCTCGTGTTGTTGTTGGTGGTGGCATATTTCCGATAAATTCAGTTCAATGTCTCGTGAAGAACAGTTCAGATCCGTGCCGCACGCCACACGAGGTAAGCGTTCCGTCGAAATGCGAGCTCAAAAACCGGTGGTAAGCGGTCAATCTGTGAAAAGTAACGCAATCTCCGTCGTTTGAGAGCAGCCGAAGCAGCCGCCGATGCTCTTGCCGATGCTGTCCTTAATGTTTTTTATTTCCATTATCTAGGAAACCCATGCTGAGGTATGAAACATACACTCGTAGGCATTGTTTTGTCCGCTAAAGTCTAATTCCTGGACGCAAAAACGTTGTGCTTTTTGAAGTTTATTATTGTGCTTTGCCCTTTGACAACCTTACGTGACTCATGCGTTTGGTAGCAGACGATGGCTAAACTCTGCTTTTCTTGTCTGAAAACGGCTTTAAATTTTATCAGATCGCTGTATAAACACGTGGTGGTTTCTGATAGCTGATAACGTTAAACCGCTGTTGCTCAAACTGATTTCTTATTGTATTTTTCCGAGTTTTTAGCATCGGCCCGCTGAGTCTGGAAAGCTCAAATTTCAGAAAAGTACTACTTGTATTTTTCGGCCTCAAAAATTTTCTTTTAAGTTGCCCATAGTTTTGAAAACAGATTTGAAAGAAGAGATAACGCTCTTTAACGTGGTACAAGACTCTTTACTGAAATCGAGGTACCAGTCGACGATTTTGGGCTTTGAAATTTGCCATTTTTTATCGAACGAAAACGTCATTCAAAATATTAAAAATAATGAAAAATCTCCAAAATATTACATTTTCGTTCAAACTGAGTAAATCACCACTTAAAATGTGTATAATTATGTACTTTTCTGAATAAGTTATTTGTTGTCCGCATTACAATGGATTTGAATTTTAAAACGACTTTTTTCTGACACATGCTCTCGGGCCTGTAAAACCCGGTCCGAGAGCCGCGAAACCAATAACCCCCCGTACGTCGAAAATAATTATCGGATCGAAGCAAAAATTACATCTATGTTAATAGCTTACCTAGTGCTACTTTGTAAATTTTTTTGAGAATTTTCGTTTTTGCACTTTTATAGACCTCAGGTCGATATTTACTGACATCCGTTCTTAAAGCCTAGCCCAGTTAAAATTTGGCGTACCCTGAGTTAAACTTAACCATGTTTTGAGGAACTGAGCCCTGGGAAACAATACATCAGATCGGTAATTAACACACATTTCCAACCACTTTACAACAACTGCGTTTCTTGATGCAAAGTTCTTGCATTTTTGTCTAACCTTTTTTAAGAGGTAGTCTTTCAAATCCTTGCAATCACGTGGAACAGCTTGCGTTACATCTCCCACCAGCCATAGGAAGTAAGGGAACGTTCGGTGAAATAACTCTGTGTCCTTTTGTTTGACACCATCCCCTTGGTTTGACCTAACTTGGATTCTTTGAGAGAGCTTTGCTATAAAACTAGTATGTGTTATGGAAAATTATGCATTAGAGTTAATTTTTTAAGGTGAATAGGTATTTTCTCACTACCGTATCAAATGTGTTTTAAACGTCTCTCAATCTGCCACTCTCTCAACCACCCAATGAAATATACACTCATCTTTCCGAATAAGAGAGGTATCATGAAATAAAATAAAGCCACAGTTAAATGTCCTTGTATGAGAGCTCCACCCTTTTTAGTACTTTTGTCTCCTCCTAAGAAAGCAGAAGCAAACAAACAATTAACAAAGCAAGAAATTGCTCAAAGCGCAATAAGAGAGAGAATAAGGGTAAAGGAGGGTAAGTAAAGGATACTCTAGTCCTTCGAGATCACGCCTCATGGGGACACCTTGTGAGTTGTAAATAAGCACGGAAGCTAGCAGAACCGTCAAAGTGATTATTTGATTATCATCGTAACCAACACTGGAAGCAGCATCGATCCCTTCTGAATCCAGTAGCACCACTGTGAATTCTTGGCCTCTAGAATCCTGGAAGTTAAGCCTCAGTTAAGTACGAAAGATTTTTTCGTCGACAATAAGTTAATACGTTGTACTGCCGGCCAACTCAGAAAACCGTCAAAACCGTGAACTCCTGAAATAATTAAGGGGGAATGTTGATTGTGTAGTTACAATAACATTTAGGATACGTGGACAAACGTTTAATACCACAAACTAATTATAGTTGCTGTTTACGGCTGCAATTTTTCATAGCGACAAAAAGAAGGTTTTCCTTTCAACACAGTATAGTAACATCCCATAAATTTTTCGGTTGTTAACGGTTTTCTAAATTTACCGGCAATTGCTCATTTTATGGTCTTTTCAAGAGACGACAGCGATAGATAATCCGTGCCATAATGCTCCTTAAAAGTGGTTGTCTATGAAACTAATGCAAAAAAAAGTAAATGAAAAATTTGATTTACACCAAATTTACTTAGTGTAAATATGATGCAAAAAAGTACAAACTAAGGTTAAACAACGGGAAAGATGGTCAATATCGCATTTGCTCAACAATTTTACAACCCCATGTAAACCGCTCTGAAAGTGCGGTATCTACTATCTTTGCCTTTGATTTCCTCCTCATTTGCACTTCTTTGCACCATATTTGCCCCGAGCAAATTTGTGTAAATCTAATCAGTTTTCGTGAAGTGAGGAAAATAACAAGCATACAGCGTGATTCGAACCCATACACACTGCGTTACTAATGTAATGTTCGTATTGATCTCTTCATCCTAAACGCTGGAATCAGGGTAAATTCATGTGGCTTCGTATCTTTACTGTAAAAAGCAAGATTGTTGCTTACCTTATATTTCTCCGGTACAATCCACAGCCAGATCCCCATGGTCTCTGCAACCATTTCATGTCCAAGAGGAAAAACGTCCGGTTGATCAAAAGCTTCGCTTAAAATGTACGACTTTCCCTTTCTGTAAGGACCGGCAATTGACACCACGCACACTGGACCTAAAAGAACGAGAAACTCTCTTTCTAACGAGTAACAGTGAAGACCACCCCCGGAGAAGAGGCGGGGGGTGGGGGCTCCCTATAATGGAGGCTCGGCCCTAAAGGGATATCAAAGGATAGGGAAGTCACGAGTTAAAGTATATGAAAGGGTCGGAAAATTTATCATTTAAGTCTTTAGAAGGGCCTTTAAAATGTTTCAGGATAAGACTAACTTATTTTAATGTTACAGTAAAATGACTAAAAAAGACTTCTTGTGTTGGCGATTATTCTCATCCTCTGTCTTTCCTATTAAGGGGGTGTGTTAGAGAGGTACCATGTTTTTATTTATCTTTATTTTATTTTTTGTCAGTAAAAGTTTACGAAAGGGATACCTCTTTGGTCAAAAAAGAATTGAAAGAAATAGGGTGGGACCACAGGGCTGGGTCTCCCCGTGTCGTTGAGTAGCGCCCACCGAGCGAAGGCTATTCCTAGATAAACGATCTGACAATATCATTATCTTACATTCAGTCTGAGCGTCACAAAAATTTAACCGGTGATGATGATCATTCGGTTTTACAACCAGGAAGAAAGTACCGGCAAAAGAGTGTTGTCTTATACTCCACATTATTTTTCAGGTTGTTCGCAATCCATGGTAAGAAACGGCCACGTACCTTTGACTTCCCTGAGCTTCTCAATGGCTTCATCAACCACATACAGCGACGAGCGTTGTTCTTCTGTTTTCGTACACTCACGAGCGTGTGAATTCCACTTGCAGTTATTTGGGAGACAAAGAGGAATTGCTTTCCGCTCATCACCAGTGCTTACACTCGCAGTCCCTGTTGCTACTAATGAAAAGTGGTAACTGTCCTGGTATTTTTTAACTTAAAAATACTATTTCATAAGCCCGCACCGGTGCTTAAATATTAATGTTACGGTGGCTGGAAAACATTGATCCAAAAGTAAGCAGTTGGCGGAGAACACCTAACGAGATCCTGCACGCTGATCATTTAATTCGGGGGACAAAATCTTTTATAATGCCTACTATCAACACGAAGAAGTCGTTTTTACCATATCAAGCGAATTTCATCCTAGAACTCAGACTGCAAACCAGGAAACAAGCAGAAAATGAACAAACGGTTAACAGAGGGTACTTATGGCAGTGATGTAAACAACTACTTTATTCAAGAATCAAATGTATTGAACATAAAAGTTTAATTGAGGACACTGTTTATGGCCGCCATTGATAAGTGATCCTCCAAGCCACGCTTATTATCTAGTTTAGTCAAAGCGAAGGTACCTAATACCTTCAGTTTATTTCTCTAGATTTTGAGGATCGGTACTGGCCGCCGTTGGAGCGAAACCAGCCGATATCGCGCTCTGTAGTCTAGCACTCCTGCCCAACCTTGCTAACCTTTCTGCGGGTTTATGAAGTTCTAATAAACATACGAATTTATAGATTTTTTCTTTTCCTTCTTGCGTGGAAAATTACTAAACCAACTGACTGCACTCTTGCTTTACTAGGGAACTTAAGATAGAGACGTTTTCGGGGCGACGGCAACTTCAACCGGACGTGACATCATCATTTGTTGGATATTGCGCATGCTCGTGCTCACCACCTTGCCGTCGTGGTCCCGTCGGCGACGTGAAACTCGTCTGTTTGGCGTTGTGGCGAAAACGTGAGTATTTAACTTTCATTTCAATCAGGTTTGTTGCGTTTAGCAACCAAAATTTTGCAGATTATCGTTCTCAAACTGTCCTTGTTTTCTTTGAGCCACATTTCGAGCTTGATTTCCAAGCTCTGTTATCTAAACTTACATCTTTGAATGTTTCTATGTTTTTATGTCACAGGGTCAAGATCCAACTTGGCTAACAGCCAACCGTAAGTGAGCTTGACATGGACAAAATTGTCCTACGAGCCAAATAAAAGTATGCAGACAAAAAATATGAACTCCGATATTTTAATTGTGTGTTTTTGGTTCGCTCTTTTCGTTAGAAAATCGTATAAATGAAACACATTGAAAATTATATAGAACGAATAGTAGGTAATACCATGTACTAACGTGGGAATACTGAAATAAAGTTGTTGCCGTTGTTGTTGTTGTTGCATGTATTTTCCGGAAATTATTTCAATACCAAACTAAGAATACGGTTCCTTGGTAGCATTTTAATGTTCCTGTAATTTGCAAGGCTTCGGCAAGCCTGTGGAGATCTTTTTTTTTTCAACCCGAAATTCTGCCTTGCACTCAGCTGTATTCCGCATGTTTTTTAGCGTGAACGGATCGTAACTGTCCCGAGGAAAATCGGGATTTTTGGACTCATAATTTTCCCACAAAACGAGAAAATCTTCATACGATACATGTTGTCTGCATAGCAAATATTTATTCTCTTAATTCTTTATGTGAAGCCATATTTTCCTCTTCGGTATTCTTCTAATTATTAAGGCGCCGTCCTTCGGAGTTCACTGCGATCTTAATGTTCGAGTTTTGACGGGAAGCGACGGCTGCCTCAGTTCCAGGCTTTCTC